GATGCTCAGAGCCAGGAGTTCCTGGGTCACTTGTGGATTTATAGCTGGATATCCTTGTTCTCACAGAAAGAGCCAGAGAAAGCAAAGGAAAGAGGCTACCTGTCTCATGAAGTATTACTAACGGTGGTGTTTAAAAGCCAGTGCACAAAAACAACAAATGCTACATGCAGATTTGGGCCAGCCTGGAGCCAGTTCTGGTGACGTCACAGTCCTTCCAGACTTTCCTTATCCTTACAACAACCCAGACTGCTGGGGCCCGGGCCTTGGTATGGTCAGGGAGAAGTCTGGTAAGGCATGGGGTCTGACCTGGCATATCCTCCTTCTAGGAGGCAGAAACCATCATCCAGAAGATTAAACAGCAGCAGTATTCAGATCTGCTGGCCCACGACCAACTGCTCCTGGAGAGGAAGGAACAGAAGGTCTTCCTGCACTTTGGTGAGAGCAAGCTGCCTCTCTGTCCGTCGTACCCTTTCCCGTCATCTTCTCTCTGCCTGAATATCCTAACCAAGGGAAGAGCTGCATCTGCAGAGGAGGGAAGCTGGGTTGGAGGCATCAGGGAAGCCAGACTGAGGGCCCTGTGTCTGTTTCAGAGGAGGAGGAGATCACCTTCGCCCCCACCTACCGATTCGAAAGACTGACGCGGGACAAGTACGCCTACACGAAACAGAAAGCCACAGGGGTGAGTCCTCGTATAAGCAACTCCCCTGCCCTGTCCCACTTCCTTTCCCCACCCTACCATTCCATGGCGGTTCCTAGAAAGTGGGAAGCATCCTCCATCACCAGGCAACAACAAAAACAAAAATTAGAATACACATGCAGGGGCTGGGGATGTAAGTCAGTCGGTAGAATGTTTGCCTAGGTGCACAAAGCCGTGGATTCCATCTCCGGCCTCAAGCCAGACTGGGACCCTGCATCTCTAACCCCATCTCTCAGGAGGTGGGAGCGAGAGGATCAGGAGTTCAAGGTCACCCTTGACTACATAGTGAGTTTGAAGCCAGTCTGGGCTTCATGAGACTCTCCAAAACCAAAATTTTCACATGTAAAAACTGCCACCAACTTGCACACACACAAAAAGCTGAGCTAATAATGGCCCCAGTCAGGATGCTGAGAGAATTTTAAAGCATTTGTTTTTAACTGTACAGAAAAGCTAGTTTTAAAAATTTACTTATTTTTATTTTATATGTAGGTGTTTTTGCCTGTGTGTATGAACCACATGCATGCAAGGCCCACAGAAGCCAGAAAATGGTGTCAGATTCCCTGGAAGGGGACTTAAAGAATGGTTGTAAAATGCCGTGAAGGCACAGGGAACCAAACTCAGAGCCTTCTGCAAGGTCAACCAGAGCTCTTAACCACTGAGCATTGACTGCAGCCCTGTAAAGCTGATTTAAAAAGACCAAAACAAACAAAGCCCTCCACCCAAATTCTATTAGCCAAGATTGAACAGGTTCCAGTGCATCTTAGTGTGATGGCGCGTGCTTGAAATCCCAATACCTGAGAAGCTTAGGTGGGAGAATTATGGGTTCAAGGCCAGCCTGGACTACATGGCTAGACTCCAAAACAACACCAGCATAACTTGTTTCTTTGCTACCGGGCTAATAAGAGCCTATAAGAGCTTCTGAACATTATAGTTCTCCATAGGTAAAACTAAATTGATCACAGAATAACTACTAATATATTAACAAGGCCACTCTTATTGAAAGAAGTTTGGGGAAAGATACAATAACATACTCATGTATTCAAAGAGTTTCTGATGGGTGAGGAACTCTCCTAGGTGAAGAGAGGTCAGAACCGAATGAATATTGGCCCCAGGCTATTTACAGGGAGAGAGAGAGAGAGAGAGAGAGAGAGAGAGAGAGAGAGAGAGAGAGAGAGAGAGAGAGAACCTTGCCACTGAGTGCCCCAATAGAACATGGCGTCATGAGGAGCAGGCAGAGAAGGAGACGACCATTGGTCAGGAAGGATGGTGTGTCTTCTTAAAGATGCCATCTGAGGTGTCTGGAAGGGCAGCGAGAGTTCGGACTAGGAGGTTTGAAGGGAGGGAGGTGACATGTTTCAAGCTCAAGGAGCCACTAGAGAGAGCCCAGCCAAGAAGCAAGTTCTGGATGTCAGTCACTTTTCATAGGGTCCAACCCAAGGCCATCAACCTAGACAAGTCCAGGAATAAGCAGTACGAGATCATGGGCGCTGAGAGTTGCTTCAGCTAAGGATGCAGAGAGAGAACCCTGGGTGGATGAGATCCTGATACTGCCTGGTCCTGGGGGGCAAAAGACAGCGAAATAGAAGGGGAACATGGAGTGGACTCCTAGGAGGGTCCAGGTGCAAGGCGAATTAACCTCATTCACAGCAAGATGCCAGGACATCTAAAAGTATAGCACCCAAAGTAGGGTTTAAAGAGTTGAAGAGCTTAACACTTAAGTGAAATCAGCCAGACTCGGAAGTGCAGATATCATATTTTCTCTCCTTTACAGAATTTAGGTTTAAATATATATTCTAATTTCTACTTATAATCATAAAAATACTTTTGTATTATTTGCATATAACACACATGTAATATATATGCCATCAAAGCAGAAATGTGGGGGAAAGAAGGGAACCAGAAGAGATGGGGAGGAAGAATAAGAGAGGTACTGAGGAATGAATATGGGCAAAGTATGATGGTGCATATTTGAAGATGTCATGATGAAACTCATTGTTATATATGCTACCCTAAGAAGAAACACTCAAGAAATAGTGTAAAGGGCTGAGATGCTCAGTCATTAAGAGTAACTGGATGAAATTGCAGAGGACCCAGGTTCAGTTCCCAGCACCTACATGACTGCTCACCACTGACTATAACTCCAGCTCCTTTCTAACTTCTGTGGGCACTGCACACATGTGGGCACATACATATATGCAGACAAAACACTCAAGCACATAAAATAAATGGAGTGTATTTTAGATAGTTTAAAGCTACCTGCAGGGAAATTTCTAAAGACCCAACAGCAGATGAACTCGAGGATGGCAGATCTCCCCAGTTAATACTGTGTGTTTTGTCTTTACTGATAACAATGGAAGTAGCGCACATGCTCTAAAACTGTGATGTTGCTCTGCAGATGAAGTACAACCTGCCGTCCTGGTGCGACCGAGTTCTCTGGAAGTCTTACCCCCTGGTCCATGTGGTTTGTCAGTCCTATGGTGAGTGGATCACTGGGGGAATGTAGACTAGGGTTTGGGCTGTGAGGACAGCAGCAAACCAAAGGGCTTCAGTTTGCTTGGAGCCCTAATCAGGGATCCGGATGGAGTTGGTGCATCCTTGGCCTCCCTGGGCTGCAACGCAATACTCAGAGAGGCATTAAAGCACTTTCAACAGCAGCTTTCTTTCTTTCAATTGAGAATTTCATCCAGTTGTGTGTTTTCTGATCAAATCCACCCCTACCTCCTCTCCTCCAGTTCCTCCTATCCCTCATAGCATTCTACCCTCCCAATTTTATGAACTCTCTCTCTCTTTTTTTAAACCCACTCAGTCCACTTAGTACTGTCTGTCTGTGAGTGGGTGAAGCACCTACTGGAACATGGGTAGCCTTTTGGAGAACTAAATTCCTAAAGAAAATATCCTGTCTCTCCCTCAGTAGCCATCAATTGCCAGTGACTCCTCAGCTAGGGTAAGACTTCCCTCGCCCATCCAAGCTGGGATTTCGGGTGACTTGATCTTGTATGGGTCTTGTACATGCAGCCATAGCTGTTTTGGTGTGCTCTCATATTTAACAAATGTTTCACTGCCTATGTCCACTCTCCTGGGGTCTTACAATCTTTCCGCCCCCTTGTCAGCAATGATCCCTCCGCCTTGGAAGGAGCAGGTGTGATATGTATGTCCCATTTAGAACAGAGTGCTCTGTAGTCTTTTGCTCTGCATATTGACTACTTGTGGGTCTCTGTGTTAATTACCATCTACTGCAAAAAGAAGCTTCTCTGATGTGGGCTAAGAAATGTACTAATCTAGGGATATAAAGAGAATAACTTAAAGGACAATATAGTACTATATTAATTTATAAGAATAATAGTAGCAGATTCTCCCTTAGAGCATGTGGCCCAGCCAGTCACAGATTTTTGGCCCAGCTAACAGTAACAGACATGAGCTCTGTCTGGGGGTGGGGGCTTCAAATTCAATCAGAAAGTGGCTGGTTACTCCCATGACGTTTATGCCACTATTGCACCAATGGGTATATCTTTCCAGGCCAGCTGTCACTGTGACTCACAGGGTTCACAGATGGCTAAGACTGCTGAATAGGACCTTCTGGTACTATTCTTTTTTAAAGAACCATATTGAGTTTGAGCCATATAAAAGTGGTAATTTTGCAGGCATAAAGCAGGCAACCACCAGGGAGTCCCATGGTTCAGCCTAATACATATCATTAAATGTGTTCATGTGGATTTGGGGGGCCTAAGACTGTTTCACTATGGGACTAGAGATATGGCTCAGCAGTTAAGAGCACTTGCTGATCTTCCAGAAGACCTGAGTTTGGTTCCCAGCATACTTACTAGATGGCTCACAACTAACTATAACTCCAGCTCCAAGAGATACAATTCCCTCTTCTAGCCTCCAGAGGCATCTGTGTACACACACACACACACACACACACACACACACGCACACACAAGTTCCTAGTCACTGGCACTCAACCCTCATCCCACAATCACCACAAATGAGCAATACACAAGCCAGAGACCCCGATAGGCAGTTAATGACCCATACTTGTTCAGCTGAGCCCTCGTACCTACCATCTTCAGAGTAAGGAAATAGGTTGGGGGAGTTTTGCCACCCTCTCTGGAGACCATTAAACTCTGATCCCACAAATGAAGTTGGTTCCTGTCCCCTTGATCTGCTCGTGTCTACTGTCCCACTGGGGTAGTTTAGCATATGCATTAAAGCCCCCATCCCCGCCTCCTTCTCTTGAGCTCTGTCTCCCAGAACACTTCATGAATCACCTTTAGATGTGTGGCACAGCCACATCTCTTACACGCTCAGCTTACACTATTACGTCTCTGACACTTCTATACTCATAGCTTCAGCCAAGGCACTATTCTGCCTTCAGAACCTGAAAATGGGACAGGAGCTATGTATAGCTCAGGGGTAGAGTATTTTCCTGCCATGCATGAGGTCCTGGCTTCAATCCCTAGTACTGCCCAAACCAGCGGGGCAAAATAAACAAAGACAGAAAGTACCCATTTCTCATTCTTTACACAGACTCCCTGAGTATTTCCTGTTTGCCCTCCCCCACCCACACCTGACTTCTGCATTATACACGTTAAACTCTTACTGCACTGACTGCCTATAACACAGAGTCAATCATATGGATACCTACGCCCCAAATCCTGCAGCCCTGAGGGCCCTCTCACTTTCTGTCTCAGAAGATCGGTCAGCTATCTCCATCAGTCAGCTGCCTCTACAGAGGGCCAAATAAGGGTGGAGGCTCATAGAATTGCCACTGTCTCTTTTGACCCTAACCTTGGCCTTCAGACTTGCCCCATAGTGCAGCTTTTAGGAAAAAGGGAAGGAGATGGGTCTGGAAGTGGCAGCTGGGGTTGAGGGGGGCATACATCCCACACATTACCCAGTGTGTGATGGGCAAAGAGGAAAACCAACTCACATGTAAGGCTGTGTTATCTTCTGTGGGAGGCTGAAGACATAATATTTTGCTAATATTTTTTTTGATTTAATAAAGTTTTATTTTCCCAAATGTACAGCTGATTGAACCTGTTCATGCATCTTCACCAGCAGCTGGGGCATCTCCACCCTTTGTGTTTCTGGTATAAATTACTTGGGCTCTGTGCTTTGAAACCAGCTTGATAAGCCCTTTACTAAGGAGCTCCTGAAGAGCTGCCCTGGCCAAGGAACCGCGAATCTTCAGTCTCTCAGATACCACGGCTGGAGTAATAAGTTTATAGTTGGGAACTTCCTTACAGAGTTTGTCGTATGTAGCCTTGTCAAACAGGACTAGATTGTTGAGCTTGTCCCTAACTTTGCCTTTGGACCACTTCTTTTTGGCCTTGCCACCGGACTTATTTACTGGGTCTTTGTCTTTTTTGGCTGACTTTCCAGCATATTTCTTCTTGTCATCCTTGGGCGGCATGATGAAGTTCGGAGAGTGGTGACGACCACTCTATTTTGCTAATATTCTATTGAGTCAGAGGACACAGTAGAAGAGTTTAAGGAGTTGGAGGTGGAGGAGATCAAGAAGGGACCATAGAAAAGAAAGTGCATGTCTAGAATGTAAGGAGGACTGGGAGCCCGGGTTTTCTTGCAGCTCTAACATAATTGGGTGTACCAGCAATCTATTCCTGCATAACAAATGCCCTGAATCCCAGCTCTTCAAACACGGAATCTTTTGCTCAAAATCCTCTGGGCTGGACTGAACTTGGACAGCTCATTTCTGCTCTTTGGTGTCAGCTGGCCACACTGAGGTATTTAGTCAGAGCTGGGGTCAACTGGCTGTCAGTAAGGGTGATGGTGATAACTCCTGACAAGGTCCTGGTCCGTCCCTGCTGTGGGCTTGCCATCCATGCCTTGGCCAAAAGGCCTTCCCCATCCCTGCTTAGAAATACCGTCCCTCCTTTGCAGGCAGCACCAGTGACATCATGACAAGCGACCACAGCCCTGTCTTTGCCACATTTGAAGCAGGAGTCACATCGCAGTTTGTCTCCAAGAATGGTAAGCAGTGGGCAGCATTGGCTATTCTTGTTTTCCTCACAGACAAGGGCCCTAGCGCATTTATTCTATGGTTGCAGCTACCATTTGTCTATGTTAGAAATAGGCCCATCCTTCCCACAGGACCGCAGTCTGCCCACCTAGTCTCTTCATGTCCAGGCCACGTCACAATCTCAATCCAGAAAACCTACTTTTGAAACTCATTTTGGCGTAGTTAAAAGTGGGTGGTTGTAAATCGGTGTCTACCAAGGTATGGTACCTAACCCCAAAGAAGGTTCTGGGCTGGGGATACATGGGTGAATGGTTATTCATGGTATATATACGTTAGTGTGTTTTAAATATGTCTCTTCTGGATAAGCAAGTACTTCAGTTTCCTCCGATCATGGCATATTTTATTTAATTACATCTAAGTTTAAAAACTGGCTCTAATTAAAGAAAATATTAAGCCAGCGTTAGTGTGGCTGCATAGTAGGTGGAGACGGTGGAAGTTGTGGAGGTGGGATGCAGATGAATGAGTCCCAGGAGACTGGAATAAACTGATGCTTAGGGATGCAGTTATGTTTTCAAACTGCCCAGCCCAGCCCTGGTTGCCAGGCTACCCTTGTCCCAGGAGAGGCTGTGGCCTCTTAACAAGTCCATCCAGCCCTGATCTTCAGTGATCAGGAAGCCATGTTGCCATCTCCTCTGCCCACTCTTGACTTCAGTGCAGCAGATAACTGATTTAGGGATCCTGAGGGTGAGGCACCAAATACAGGCAGAGGACAACTGTGTTCCTCTGTACCCTCTGTGCTGAGACACACAGACGAAGTGAAATCATTGTCTTACTAGGATACCCTTCTCCCTACCATTGGACCAAACATCTGTGGGTCTGATGTGACCCACCTTCTCCACCTATGTCTTCTCCCTGTCCTATCTTTTTCCTATATATGACCATCTTTGTTCCACCACCTTGCTAGCCTGTGGGCTCCACCTCCTCCCCACTCACACCCATCTCCCCTTTCTCTAGTCCTGCAGAATTGGTGGAATAGTCAGTCACCTCTCCTCTGTCACTGGGTAAAGCATCTTCATTTTCAGGCTGGGTTTCCTTCTGCTGGGGCTCAGTACATAGCAGATGCTTGAAAATATTGGTCACCAGTGTGGAGCCTGGACGGAACATTTGCCTAAGCAGAGCCTGGCCAAGATGCTGTGGAGTTTAGAAGAAAGGAAAGAAGGAAGGTTGACAGGTGTGGTGGCGGTAACTCTCAAGTGGCTTAGAACTTATACGAGAAGACAGAACACTTGCTTAAAACCAGTTCAGAATCACTTATAGTAACACACACCTTTTGTCCCAGCACTTAAGAGCCGGAGGCAACAGGCTCAGAAGTTCATTGTCATGCTTAGCTACATGGTGAGTCTGAGACCAGTTTGGGGTACATATAAGACTCAGTCTTACAAAACAATAACAGTGATTAAAAACCAGTTTGAGGTGTGTAAATTAACACAGTTATGAGCATGTTAGTTGAAGCCAACAAGTTCTAGAGCACAGAGTAAAAGGACTGGACATAGCTATGCCAATGGTGAGGGTAGATCTCCCTAGCTGTGGACTCAAAACAGCAACAGCAGGTTTGAATGTTGAACCTAAATAGTTAAATAGCTATTTAAATAGCTGTATGAGCTCTCTGTCAGAACCAATGGGGACATCTGGGTGTGCTGGCTCATACCTTTAGCCCTAGCAATTGAGAACTTGATGCAGGAAGATCAAAAGTTTGCGGCCAGCCTTGGCTACATAGTGAGTTCTAGCTAGCAAAAGAAAGGGATGGAGGAAGGAAAGAAGGAAGGAAAAGAAAGAGAATTAATTAGTAGGTGAGATTGAGGGGTTGCCTTGGACCATATATATTTGTTCGCAAAACTGGCGTTAAAACTTGGGTTCTTGCCGCCTTTACTCTTTCTGCTCGACACCCTACATGGCCAGCCTGCGACAGATTAGAGCGGCTGCGGCCATCAGGGATGCTGAGCTTGCATGGTGAGTCATGAAGCGTTAAGGAAAATCTCTCCTCCACCTGGACATTCCCCATCCTGGGCTCTCAGAGGGAGCCCAGCATGATGGGTGGACACAGAGAAAAGAAACCCCAGAGAGAAGCTGGGAGAAACCTCCATCTCCAGGAACAGGGTGCAGATAAATGCCTGGTCTCCCTGCTCCAGGTCCTGGCACTGTGGACAGCCAAGGGCAGATCGAGTTCCTTGCGTGCTACGCCACACTGAAGACCAAATCCCAGACGAAATTCTACTTGGAGTTCCACTCCAGCTGCTTAGAGAGTAAGTGGCTTGCAAACCCCCCTGAGGGGTGATTCTTTCACACAAGTGTCTTCGTTAATGATTGATCCCCCACTCAGTTTCTTCTCTCTCTGATGAAGATTCACGGATGGGCCTCAGTGGGTCCAGTGAAGTAGGCTACAGGTAGGTTGCCTAAGGGGCTACCTGGTGCCTGTGAGGCCCCCTTCTCCACCCCTGTGGTCCATGCTTTCACTGCCTCAGCCCTGGAAATGGGGCAGCCACTAGTGTACTGGCCTCTCTGTCCCCTGGCTTTTCTATCACTATTCTCTAGGCAGACTCTTACCCACTTGAATTCCCACCAAGCTGGGCTCTTATATATACTCAGTTTTGTTCTGGGCAAAGCTCCAGAGCTCTGAAGATCAGACAGGGTCTTAACAGTTGCTACTGCCTTCCTGATGTAACCCTGGGCCCCCTTGCCCTTTCTATATTGTGGCGCTTTCATTGTGGGGCTCACTGTAGCCGGAAGCAAGGTAGCACGGTTCCATCTCAGGTGGTCATGTTGAGCACCTGGTGTGCTTACAAGGAATCCTTTCTACACAGCACCTCCAGGCATATTGCCTGAGACTCCCGTGCAAGAGAACTACACGCTTTCTAGTTCTCCCTGGGGTGGTCTCAGGAGTAGTAGGGGAAGGGTATGCACCAATTCTGCAAATAAGCACAGACTCCTTGCTTCTAAAGCCCAGGGGCTGCCAGACACAATTCTGCCCCCTCATACCTTTCTGCGCCTTCCTGCTTCCATCCATCCCAGCCCTTCCTAGGGATTCTGTCACCTTCACCAGAACATCCCGAAGCCTCGGTTCAGCAGGCAGGGTCAAACAGTTCCAACAGGGATGAGGGGTTTTGTGCGGGTGTTTTAAATAAACTTCTCGAGACATTTGCATAGATTTCTATGGCAACAGCATATTAGGAAGCTTAAATTAGAATTTCAAAAGGCTGCTATCTTGAGTGGTGTGGGATGAGCTGTCATGCTTCCCAATCTTCTTGCCTGCGGTGTGATGACTTCTTCGTTGCCTGGTGTGCTGCAAAGAAGAGTCAAAAAGGAGGGGGAATCTCTCTGATTTTCCTAAAAATATAATTAGCCTGTTGGCAAATGACCATCCCTTGAACAAAAACAGAATCCCCAAGGAACCTGATTCCTAAATGGTACTAAAGCCCTAGAGACTTCCAAAGAAAGAAACCATCTTCCGTCGTCCAAGGAAGGTGACCCTTGGAGTCTTTTCTGTCTGGTCCTTGCTCTGTGGTCTGCAAACCCAGCTTCTGATTCTCCGACAGGTTTTGTGAAGAGTCAGGAAGGAGAAAACGAAGAGGGAAGCGAAGGAGAGCTGGTGGTGCGGTTTGGAGAGACTCTTCCAAAGGTAATACCGGAAGAGAAGGTGCCTTGGGGCGGAGGGCATAGCAATGGAGGCCAGCAAGCCACCATAGCAGCAGGCCCGCCCAGTGTGCAGCAGCTGCAATAGGCCTACCCAGATGGTAGCCATCCCAAACCAAGGCCAAAGAGGCCAGCGTAGAGACTCAGGTGATTTAAGGCATACTTTTCAGCATGGATAAGCGACTTTAGTATTTCTAAGTGGTTCTTCAGCCCCTAGTACACCCATTCCCCGTTCGGTTCTTACTACTGACTTGGTGCTTGTAGTACCTGAGATTGAATCTAAGCCTTTGCACATGCCAGGCAAGCATTCTACCCATTGTGCTACGTCCCTGATATCTCTGAACAATCTTTAGCCGCAGGAAGTTGGGGCAATGCTGGCATTCAGAAGTCTGTCACTCACCAAGCCACACCGTTAGCAAGCCACAGGATACTTCAAGCCCAAATGAAGGTCTTTGTCCCGTAGTACCTTCTTTATATGCAGCTACAGACCTTGGAGGGGCTGGAGACGAAGGATGGAACTGCAGGCTTCTTCCCTTGGCCCCTAGAATAAACAAAGAAGGGGAGGAAGAATGGAGACCATGGACAAGGGGCCTGGAAGATCATCCCAGTTGGGGGTGGGGGAGAAAGTTATTCCTCACTTACCTGAGCAATGGGCTCCACCTGCTCTCTCAGGCAGGGAAAGTCAAGACTTGAGTTTGGTTGAAAGAACATCTTCAGTTCCATCTTCTTGTGTATTCTAATATTGAGACTGGTGGGCCACACCCACTGTCCCTACCTGTTCTCACCTGTGGACTCTAATCTGGTGCCTCCTCTGCAGCTAAAGCCTATTATCTCTGATCCTGAGTACCTACTGGACCAACACATCCTAATCAGCATTAAATCCTCTGACAGCGATGAATCCTATGGTAAGCATCCCAGGCCAGGGACCTTCCCTGCCCGTTAGCCTCAACCTCTAAAGTGACTCAGTTATTAGTAATGACTCAGTCTTCCAAGAAAGCCCGTCTGCCATTTCCCATCATACCATCATGCTGCCTCTTACTCTGTCCCTTGGCTGCCGGAAGAACTTTTCCGAATGGGTTATCATCCCTGCTTCTTGTGACTTCTGGACACAGCTAGCAACCTCCCTCTTAGCCTTGCTGGATGAGCTGCAGACACTATATAATTTAATCTTGACAAGAGCTTCAAAGAGGCAGGTTCTATTCCCTGATGAGCAAACAAGTAAACT